ATCCCAATTGGCTCCTGCTGCTTCGACAGCGGTATATGAATGTGTGTGAATGGGATTAGTTGCTGTACTTCTGATGGTCACTTTACATAGAAACCTCTACCATCAGTGTGTATGGGTAGCTGTGACCTGTTGTGTAAAAGCGCTTTGAGCAGTCAGAAGACTAGAAAAGCGCAAAATAAGCTCATGTCCATTTACCATTTATATAATAAAAATGTTCATTTCAGTGATATATAGCGGACTCTTATGCTTCGTCTGCCAGTCCTGCGTTGACTATGTCCACGTTTTCTATAGTCTATGGTAAAGGCATTTTGAGTATTCATAAGACTAGAAGGCTATACAAGTCCATGTACCCTTTTACAAGGCTGACAGGAAACAATACTGAACTTTATAACATAAAAACGCTGTATCAACAAAACCTCTAAATGAATTAACACTGACTTTGTATAAGTTAATTGAAATTTTTTGTCACACTTAAATGTAAAAAAACATCTACAAATAAGTTATAGTGGTGTAAAGATCCAGCAGGAGGCTGAGTATGAAAATGTAAAAACACATTGCACTATGTGATGAATCTTAACCTGTAACTGGTTGAGCTTCTGAAATATTATTCTTTGAAACAAACAACATCAAATTTGACTATATCTGAGTCAAATCCACATTAAGAATACAGCAAATGGTAAGACTGGTTATGGGAACTTTGTCAAAATAGTTTAACCCAACTACAGCCAAGATTTCAGTCAAAAGTAGCACCAAGCAAGACTTTAGAGAGAGGTAGGTTTTGTTCAAGGCCATCTTGAACAAAACCTACCTCTCTCTAAAGTCTGAAGAAGCAGTGGTAGAGTGGTCAATAAAAAACTCTCTGCTCCATATAAGAAATGCATTTGCCCTTTGACAACTAACTGGTACTAACAGACAATAACTTCAGCTTTGATTCAGACACCTATGGTAGATATGTATGGGGGGGAAAAATATACATCTGAACAAACTAACTTGTTTACAGTCACAAATGGTATCTGGACCCCAGAACCTTATACCACAGGTTGATTAAATAAGTATGTCTGAAATTTAGCACAAGTGTTATCAGTGTCAGAGGGTCTCCTTCAACTAATGATTACACATCATGAATTATATACGACCCTCAGTTCTGGTGTAATTAAAACCCTAAAAGGGGTTAATTAGTTTTCATTGCATAGAATGTGGGCTTTCTTTTTCATTAGCGAGATGTTTCAAAGGAAGACTGACAGTATGTTGCAATTACCGGTAAACATTGCTGTAGTGTGCTTCTTAAGGGTATAATTATTAATAGATAGGGTGAATCATCATCTTAGTGGTGAATCACAATTAATCATTATTTAAAATATGTATTGTACGTGGTCAAGGGAACATAATGCTTGTTTTAATTCAAGAGGTAGAACAGGTTTCACTTAGAGAGGCACTAATTTATACACCATGAAAACAAATTTGCACCCTTTCCAAAAAGAGTGGTGTTATTCAACATTCAAAATCAGAACACTTGTCAAGAAAAGATTACCTCAAGACAACAGCAGGAAAAAAAATATAGCTAAACTAGATGTAGGGAGTTGAGAGATAAATGTTAATTTGATGAAGTAATTAAGGAGACAGCCTGGAGGAGCACGATTGATCCAAGTAACAGTCCATTGACCCTCATTCAAAAGGAAATCATTCGATTGATTCTCGCACAAAGCTGATCACCAGCCTTTTGAACAACTACATAGTATCCAGATGATTGGATCCAGTTTGAATGCTTTAATTCAGATAAAAGGATGATTGTTAAGTGATGAAGTCCTCTAGTAGCAGAGGGTTTTTACCTCCACTAGCCTGTCATCTACTACACAAACACTGATTATTCAAATGTCCTTTTCCTTTATTTGTCAAAGTCCTTTGACTTGAGAGCACAGGCTGTTACGCCACTTCTAATGGATTAGTGGGTTGGGTCATATTTCATCAACATAATAACCTAACACAAAACGTCTGATAAAGAGCTGGGTCATAGACAAACAAGGGCAAAGAAAATTAGGATAATATGAACAGCAAGTGAATTATGGCATTTTAGTATTTAAAAATTATATCAACAACTTGTCAGGCCAACATCCTTTCTGTTTAATCTTTAATTAATTATTCCCTCCTTGAAGTAATGATCGCCACCTTGCCCAACCACTGGGATTCATCTGGAATATTTGTTCCCTCCAAATCTGCCTGCATGTAACTTTATATACAGCAGCCATGTCAAACACACTAGCACCCAGATTAACAGAAAATGTGACTCGTCTTGGGTCACTAACCACCTGTTTTATCCTGTTGCACCATTAAAAGCCAAAGTGAACAGAAATTAGTGCTTTGTCATAGCCTTAGCAAATTGATAATTTGATCATGTTCTGTTGGCTAATTAAGTAGGCCTATGCATCAAGCCAGGGTGAGTGGAGTTTAAAAAAAAAAACAGCTTCTTGTCAGGACCAAACATGAAGAAGAAAAGAACATGCATCTGATCTATAAACCATCTTAGTTACAGAGGGCTTGCATCTTAAGAGCAAAAAAGTAATGTCAAAATACAGAATTTAAACAAATGTATCTTATGTTAAATCACAAATCTGCATGTTTTTTTTTTTTTTATATATCTTTACTCTCAAAACATCTTCACAATCCTGTATCCATCTATTTCAGAGACCAGCAGCATCAATAGATTGATGGAAGGCTAATCATTTATGGATTTCTGCACCCTGTTCCTCTGGGCTGTTCCTCCACTGTCATACCCTCTTCCAAAAAGCTTTAGTTGTCCGATGAAGCTTAATGGCTTCATCCATGTTTTTCTAACTAACACCTGTTGGCAAATGTGAATCAGGCATGCAGTAAAACGAATCAGGCGGAATTTCTTACCTATAAAGAGAGAACTCCTTTCCATTTCGCTCACCTTTCCACAGAAAATGAAAATGTGGCAGCAGAAACGAGCACGTCCGCTGTACTATCCCCAATGCCAGCCCTGAAAGAGAGAGAGAGGGAGAAAAGAGAGAGACAAGGAAAGGGAAAGAGACATGGGGAGAGAAAGAGAGTGCCTCACCAGGTTATTGGCAATGGGGGAGTCGGGGAAATTGAGCAGCTACCACTTACAACCACCCTGTATTGACATAACGCCCAAAAACATGTGTTAGACTATTTTATTTTTTAAATAAAATACCATCTTACATTTGCTTTAATACACATGAAAATGAACATAAACCGAAAACACCGAATTTCCCACTGGGATTAATAAAGTAGGCTAGCCTATTGCTGATTCTGATTCTGATTCTAAAGTTAAGGGTGCTCAGAATAGTATGCCACTTGTTGTCTTACATAGCTTACTAGCAGCCATAAGCTGAAAAACCTATAGGCCTATCTCCCCCTATGACAGGCTTCAACGCAGTTTATATATTTACGACTCACCTGTTTACAGTGTCCACACATTGTATCAACGAACTGTTTCACTCAGTTTTACAGCGTGCACTCCATTTGTTGCCACGGGAACCAATAAATGCGGCTCCTACTGACCCTCAATAAAATCAGACGAGTGGAAAAAAGGACATGCGTCAGTGACTTAAATTGACTGAAGTCTGGGTTAGGGGTTGAAGCCTTGACTTCTTTTACCCTTTTTGTAATGGTTTGAGCATTCGAGTTGATGTGCTACAGCAGAGTTTAGTTGTTTGTGTGACTGTCTCTTTGGGTGATACACACTATGGCCGCTGGGTGGCAGTAAACGCATGCTGTATTATAAAGCAAGCCTATTCTTCTTAGTCTCGTCTGGCCCATATAGCCTACTATATTACAATGTATTGATTTCCATAATCATTTTTCATAAAACCTTATTGTAAGGTTATGGAAATATCTCAACAATTTATCAGGAAAGTTCTTGACAAAAATCACCAAAGAAAGTTAAACCTGTAGGCCTGCATTTAACCTACCTGTAGTTTATTCATTTCGGTTGATTTTATTATAGTATAAATAATAGCCTAAATAAATAAAAACAAAAAAATAGGTTTATGATTTCTAAGCGTCTCTGTTTAATTCAAGCATTTGCGAGTTTGCCAAAAAAAATTAGCCCACCTTTAAATGGGCTATTATTTTACATGTTGTCATCTAACCTTAAAGTGGTTAAGAGTGAGTGTGAAGTACAAACACACTTTACTTTTTAAAGGTTTCACTTTTTAAAGGTTTCACTTTTTAAAGGTTGGACCCACCCTGCAAGACAGAGCGCTACCGCAGGTCTTTCATCCCATCTGCAGTCAGACTGTTTAATCAGACTCTTTAACAACATCACCACCTCATGCTACACAGTGTGTGTTTTTTTTTTTAATAACAACTCTTTCCAGTGTAGTTACTGTGTAATTTTCCATTATTGTATTTTTTTATTTAACTGATGTAAATATGTTTGATTTGATTTTTAACTTCTGTTTTTATTTTTAATAATTATATTCCCGTCCTCTGTTTTCTTGAGCTGCTGTAATGCACAATCCCCCGCCGCGGGGGATCAATAAAGTTTATCTTTATCTTTTATCTTTAATTACTTTTTAATCGAGGGGACTGGACCAACAAACTAATGTTCAGTACATATTCAAATCTAAACAAAATATAATTAAAAATTAATTATTTTCGCCATCGGGATGTATGATGTGTGAAACGCGAGAAGAGAACATCCCAACATGTTTGACGTGCTCCAACTCTCGCGATATTTGGGTCTCAGTTAACGTTACCTACCCGTCCTGGATACTCTAGTTTCCACCACCGTTGAGCAACATCAACATAGTAACCCGGGAAAGAAGCCTTAGAGGCGGGTAGCGACATTTCTTTCTGGGAATCTCACAACTGACCGTCATATCTTGTTGCTTGGAAAAACATTAAAGCAAAAACAATGAGTGCATGCCGCTAGAAAAAGTTGCTAGCTTAGTTGGCTCAACTGCTAGCTAGCGTTAGCTGGCTAACGTTAGCTAGCAGACAGCCGGTCGGAACTGAAGGAGAAGTCTGGATAAGTTTGGATTTTTTTTTTTTTTTTTATCACCAGGACACCAGGATTAATGTGGATATCTAAACACGTCGGATCGTTTCCCACAAGGTATGTTTGAATGTGATTGTTAAAAAGTGTTAAGCTAAGAGAAGACTTGTCAGCTAGCGTCAACATTAACTGTGTTTAGTGAGCGGATCAGACTACTCTCTGGAGCGGAGACTTTTATAAACAAACCCCACAAATACACACCATACAACAAGTTACAGACATTATTCTGTGTGGACTTACAACTATTGTCCTAGGAAAGTTATAATAATTGCTGAATGTGGGGATTGTTTTGTAAACATCTCGGCTGAAACAGTGAAACAGTGGATTTGTAGTTCATTAAGTAGAAAAACGATGGGTTGTGTTTTGTGTATTTCCTGGGTAGGTTTCTGTAGTTTTACAGTGTTTGTACCTCTCACACCGTCTCTCCACTACAAGTTGACTTAACTTGTGTTTGAATGTTTGCTGTAGACTTATTTATTTCGTAAAGGCCAACTATAGTTAATGTTTGAATACATTAATACTTGTACTAATATCAATGTAAATCCTGATGTTTCAGCCTCTCGGGTTGCAACAATATAATGTGCCTTTGAATGAAACGTAACATCAAGTCAGACACCAATTATGTGACAGAGAAACGACGACAAGTAGATGTACACACAGGTAGAAAGACGACTCAACCCGATGGTGTGAGTGAGATTAAAGTTTATGTCTTCCTCGTCCTATGGTTGGGGCGTTTCTATGCTGCCGTCGGTGTAGTGGTGACCTTAGTGTTGGAAAGCTGTATTGCAACAATAAATCACCCTTCCATTAGTGCTCCTGTAATGCAGCTGCCATTGATAGGTGAAAGCACCGGTCGCCTCCTCCTTAACAACGCTGCTGCTGCTGGTGTTTGCTATCTTGGCTTTGACATGGGTTTGTGTTTGCTTTAATGGAAATCAACCACGCTGCATGCGGGGAAATTACGATGATGTCACTTAACGCTTGCCCGACACAGACTTTACTATTCCTGAAAGGTCAATGATGGGGTCAGCTTCCTTCCGATCATTTTACTGTTTCAACAAACTGTTGTCAATACACTCTTAATGCCTGAATGTGATGCCTTCACTGAGACAGCAATAGAGCTGTTCTAATGTCTGGGTCACAGACTGGTGTTTGAGACAGTTTAGCTGATGTCTTGAATTATTCAACTGGTTATGGGGGCTAAAATGGTCTGCTCCATGATTCATGCAATGCTGGAGTGTTAAAGCAACGTCTCATTTATAAAAGTAGGATAGTGTCACTAGTCGAGGTCATCCCCTGACAATGTTATTTTCATTACTAACTAAAGTTATATAGTATGAGCTGCTCTTGGCTCGCCAAGATTGGAATTAAATCTCATGTGTGTATTTGCTTTTAAAAGCAAACATGCACTTACTGTGTGTAAACTGGTATAGTTAACCGTTATGTAGATGTTGAGCTTCTGCTGACTCAAAAGGGAATTTTATGTTCATTTTTATTTTCTGTTTTCTTTTCACACTGTTTTCACATGAAATTATGTGTATAAAATATGAATTGGTTTATGGCCATATGTTTTTTGGGAGGACTACATTCTGTTCAAGTATAAGCAGAGGGGAATTCATTTTCCTCCTGTTTGCTCTCTTCTTCTGACTTTAACACCTCAGGCAGTGTCATGTGATTATTATGAGTAAAATGCATTACTCCTGAAGAACTCAGAATAACTCAAAGCTTGTTTTGTCCTGTCGCCAACAGAGCAGTATACTGAGGAAAGTTGTCAACACTTTTAAACCTCAGCTGTGTTAGGAAGGAGTTTCCTGAATCCCATATCCCAATTTGATGGGTTTCATCAAACATTTTTTTTAGTTGACTAAGGAGAGTAGTAAGACCAGACACCTTTACTCAGGCCTTACAGGTGACGTGTTTTAGGTAAACATCACACTGCTGACATGTGACAGTTTTGCTTGCTGTCCCTCATGGAAATCTTTTGAGGAATGTGCTGCTGCCAAACTGGTTTTAAATGGCAGGCTGATTTAATGTTAAGCTGTTGAGAAGGTCTCAAAATGTGTATGGTATTTTAGAAATGAATTAGATGAACACATGTTATTGATTAAGTAATTAAGCAGGGTTACATGCATGTGTCCAGAGCATGTTTCTGTCTGAACTCTGTTCGTGTTTAAAAGTGTTTTATTTTTTATGTGTATTACTTCTTGCCTTATATATATTATAAGACAAGGGCCCATGGTAAATACTTTCTGTGTTGATTTCATTTGAGTCCGTACTTATTATTATTATTTGCTCCTCTATTGTTTTGGCTGCAGGTGAGCGATGAGGAGCAGCAGGAGGACGGAGGTTTCTCTGAGAAGCTCTGCTCAACAGCTCGCCGATCACAGCCTTAGCACAGGTTCGTTTAAAAACAAGTTATGGTATAGACAATAGGTCTGGGAATCTTTGGGTGTCTCTCAATTTGACTCAATCCGTTTTCGATTTCTGGGGTCACGATTTGATTCAGAATCAATTTTCGATTCAAAATGATTGTGGACTAATTGATCCATGGATTCAAAGTCTATTTTTGAAGTTAGTACTTCAGGATCTAGTCCAGTCATCTGTGAGACTGGCTGAATTTCTTGTTGCTCTATTTGGCATTCTACTGAGCTAAAGTGCTAACCTTAGCACTTAGCATGTAGTGAATGATTAGCCCAACCCCCCAGAAAAAGTATTTTTTTTTTTAAGTAAAAAGACACAATTAAAAAGTAATTTTTACTTAATTCTCGATTTTTTCCCCCCACCTCTAATAGTCAATATTGGGATTTTATATACTTGTGTGTGTGTGTGTGTCCTTTTTCAGTTAAGTTTAATCACAATCACTCATTAATTTTCTGACATTTATGATAAGGATGTGTCATAAGTAATGTTCAGTGCATCAGATGTTGAAATAACTTTTATTCTCTCTGTCAGAGCTGACAACTGCATGGAAAAGTTTGTCCCAGTCCAAAGCTGCTGTAAGTACACCTGGCACACGTTTTTGCTGACGGACTGTTTTTGTCAGCTTCTGCTTTTCACTTCATAAAGCAATACAGGAAGAAATATGATGACAAAGATCACTCCCTTTCATTTTCACATAACCTAAAGCGTCTGCCTTTTCTGCCTCTGTAGTTGCGGCACATAGAAAACCGCCTAGAGGCAACTCCAGGGACAGGGGTTCTGCTGGAGTCTGTCATGGACCCTCCCAAGAAGAAATCCTCCAAGACGGTTCGCCACAGGGGTCAGTTATTGTCAGACATCTAGCTACATTTTGCAAAATAGTTTCATTTTGATTTAGATTCTGTTAAAACCATAACTTCATTTAATAGGTCCTTCTTTTACAGGTGGACAACAAGCTGATGCCAGTGGAGGGTCTTCTAAGCGCAGGGGGCGTAGTCAGCAAAGTCCAGAAAAAAGCAGCTCCCGCAGCCCTCTAAGAAATACCACCCAGGACAGTAATGTCCTCAGGAACAACAGTGTGGAGTTCAGGGAACCCCTGACCTCCTTCAGGTACAAAATGTATACTTAAACACATTCACAAAACAGCCTCAACTTTCTCTGTCTCAGTCTATTGTTCAGTTGGATAGGAGTTTATACTTTAACCTTTAGGACTTGATTTCTGTCCTTTTTGTGCTTCTGAGTACGGCCTTAATTTACACGCCAAAGCAAAATTATTATTACTTTTTAAATGATATAAAGACTGATTATATATTATGAATCCTAATACGTTGTGTGTAAGTTCTGCAGAGACAACATAGTAAGATTTGAGTGATTAATAATTCTGCATCTGGGCTGAGATACAGTATTTAAATGCCAAATATTGTGTCACCTTACTGTTTTAGCGTGAAACAGCAAAGAGCTCTTTCAACGGACAAACAGCTCCTCCCCTACTCTCTCTGCTACTCAGGGCTTCTATTCAGACACCATATGTTCTTGACATGTTTTCTGAAAAGCTTTTAGCTGACAAGCTCTCAGATTTCTAGGTTGCCCAGGACTCCAGTATTTTCAGTGAAACTGCAAAACTCAGAGTTTCAGTGTAACAGAATGACTGGATTTCTAATCTGGATATGCAGCACATTCACAGTTATTTATGTTAAAGGTTTTATAACCATCAAAAACAGTACTCTCCTTTGGTATGGCCCTTAAAAGTGTCTTATTGTTTATTTTATTATGATAACTTATGAAAGGAAAGTAATTTAAAAAATGTATGACCGATTGCTTGTATTGTTACAAGAAATATCCCCTTTACTAGAAGGCCACCTAATACTCACAGAGCTTTAAAGAGAGATTTCTGTTCCTTGATTTCTGTTTCTGTTCCTAATATTTTCTCTTTCAAAATGCTTGCTTCGAGGCTTCATTTTGAATCTGTAACAACTATACAATGCTCTGTTTCGCCTCCCATTCATTGGAGTGGTGGCCGCCACCTCCTGCCCCTCCCAAAGAAGATATTCTTTATTCTTATTGAGTCATTTGTGTGCACTCATCTTTATTTCAGCAGAGCAATAGCGAGCAACTTTTATATGCATTTCACTGTCCTGAGCACAGGGTGAGTTTTGGTCTTTGACTAGTCATACTTAATGAAACATCTCTTTTATGGTTTCTCTCTAAAGCAGCACCTGGTTATGAATTTGGTTGAACCTCTTACCTGAATTAGATACAACTGTTTCCATTTCTCATACCATATTCTATTGGCTTCTTTTAAAGATATTCTGTCTGAATCATTTACAATGCTGAGACATTTTGCTTACTGGCCGACTTTGAAACCTATTTTAATTTACACGTACGTGTTATAGTTAAACATTTCTATGGATGATGTAGAACTCAACATCCATTTGTCACACCACTGTGATTTTGATTCTGTTTTACAAAATCCCAAAGTTTCAGTACCTGTTTTCTTAAGTTGTTGGAACTCAAACCATTTTCTTATACCCTCAAAAATAAATAAATACATTTAGTTTAGATAATTAAAAAATATCAGAAATGCAGGATACCTTATGGATGAAATCTAAAACTAACATCTACTAGTTGAACAAAAAATCTTAAGTCCAATCAAAGAGTTGTTTCACTCTCAGTGCTCTGCAAGTGTTGATTCTTACTACAGCAGGCTGCTTTTTTCAGATACTCCACTGTTCACTATCTGATTAGTACCAAACAGCAGACTAGTGCAGTGAAGGCAACGAGCTGGTGATTATGCAGTGGCATTTAGCAGATAAAAAGACACATATTTCTATTAGGAGCTGGTGGATACCAACTGCAGTTGTCATAGAAGAGTTAATACTGTTCATACTTTGCAAGGGTGGATAACAGCATGATACCAAAGGAATGAAAGTTTCTCTGTAGCTGCTTGTTGTAAAAAATATGAAACTATTGGCTTACAAGTTAGCCATATCAACTTGTTTTTCTGTGCCCTGAAGTGGCCACACAATCAGTTACTAGAAGTTAAAGCAAGAAAAGGCCATTTGACCATAAACGTGCTCTTCTATACACTCAGTGTGTTTTGAATCAAGCGTAAATCTTGATCCCCTTCCTGATCCCATGTAATCTGGTTTGTGTACAGAGAGGCCACCCCTCCACCACATCCCTCCTCTCAGCTGGAGGCCTACAGTCTGCAGTCGGTGCCAGGGTCTTCGCACCCCTCCTCTCCTCCTTCCTCAGATCCTCTTCTAAGCCAGCTGGTCTATCAGAGAGACACCAGGGACAAACAGACAGACAAGGACCTGGACAGCACACACTCCTCGGCTCTGGAGAGCACAGAGGTCCGCTACCTCAATGACCAGCCAGCCCTGGTTACGCTGAGGACTATTGGGAACCATTCACGACCCACAGATGTAGGGACGATCGAGGAGAACAGAACTCCCAAAGCACAACCTGGAATGGAGAGCCAAGAATCAAACCCATGTGGAGCACCGGCCCCAGTCTCCAATCACAGAGGGGACAGCACCCCCTCCAGCAGCCCTGGCTCAGCTTCCCAGCGGCTGGAGAATTTAAGGAGACATCAGCCTGATGATAAGCTGGAAAAGCTCAAAGAGCGCATTCGCAGGCAGAGACAACATCTGGAGGAGGCTGCAGAAAGAGAGAAACTGCTGGGTTATCTGGAGCAGCCCATTATGGCAGCTGTGGAGAGCAACAACGCCGGTACTAGCAACATGCCCACAGCCAAAATACGGAAAGTAGCAGCTGCACCGCCGGCACCTATTTACAAAGGTACCATATATGTAGGATGTATTGCACATTGTAAAATATTTTTTGAATATTTTCTTTGAACTTCCAGCTTTTGGTAATAGAGAGCCATTAAGTAAAAACAGGATGCTACAGTTTATATATTCCGTCCTTCAACTCTTCAACAGGTTTTAACAGTACTGAGACGAAGATCCGAACTCCTGATGGGAAAGTTTGGAACGAGGAGGAGTTTCATAACCTCAGCAGAGAAATATACAGAGACCTGTCTCGACAGTTTGCTGGTAAACATACAACCTTTTCTAAATGGATTTCTGTTTTTGTCTGGGCTTGTTGCTGTGATGCAAGGAAGGGAGTTGTTTTTTAATTCGCCGACACCTGACGAATTTACAAATCTTGGTCTTTTGATGTTTCTTTTAATGGCTGATTTGGCCGTTTGTCTTCTGTTTACAGAGACCACTAGATCCAGGAATCAGCAGCTGAGAGACCAGAGAGCTGACCGATCCAAAGAGAGGAGGCCTCCCAAGCCGGTCAGGAAGGTCCACAGAGCAGCCCCTTCTTCTGACCTAAATGCAAAACCAGGTATAATAATCCTCTTTCATGTGAGGGCCAACCCACCCTCTGATCTATTTTTAATACGTGACAGTAAGGAAGCGAAGTATGTGAAACAGTCTGGCAGGATTTTGTTATGGACATGCACATGGTCCCAAAACCAGGAGCCTCAAGCGTTAAGCTACAGATGTGTATTTATTGCTTTTATACATTTATTAAATTTCCAGCATATTTTGGTGTTACTTTACTGTGCACAAATGCTCAGGCTTATGACATTTTATGAATCATTTTTGCTGCTAAATGGCGGTTATCTTCTATTATCCTTTTTTGGTGTTATATCAACCGTTATATCAATACCGTTATATCAACTTTGTATACATGCAAGCCTTATTAAGCACAACTAGTTGTACAAGTATGTTATATGGTTAAATCTGAATGACTGAATGTTAGAAATTCCTCAGACTAACGGACAGGAACCTGTGTGTGTGTGTGTGCGTGCGTGCGTGCGTGCGTGCGTGCGTGCGTGCGTGCGTGCGTGCGTGCGTGCGTGCGTGCGTGTGTGTGGGGCTTCTAAGTCTTAAATCCCCAAAGAAATTTCCAATATGTGTGACATGCATTTGTGAGCAAGTAGCGTACAGACAGCCACATTGAGGAATTAAAGACACATACTGCCGTGACTTGGGCTTTAAACCTGGGAAAACGTTCTTCCTCCTCACTAAAAGAGGCTTCAGAGACAAACAAATAAACATGATAAAAGGTGATTTCATGACTGTGTCAGTGCAGGTAAAAACAGATATTAATGCTTTGGCCAGATAATACAAATATACGATACAGAACTAAACAGATGGGGTCTGAATAAGCTGAAAGCAGACAAGAAAAAATGTTTCTCAATAACTTAATTTATGTTGTCTGACAAGTCTGCCGGATCCCTGTTTCATGCTGGTACAGCACTATAAATAGCCCTCTGACATCTGTGGCCAGGTTCAATTGGCACATCCACACGGTCACAAACAGCTTCTTGGTTAGTGAATGTACAATTTGATTAACAGAAACTTCTCTTCTGATGATCAGAGCAGTGTCAAAGTGAAAAGTTCACTGGAGATCATTTCAAATAAAGAGATTTTGGTGTTTTTCAAATGTAATGTCATTAAAATCTGAACACCAAATGATTTCTATAGACACTTTATACCAGGCCAAGAACAGAAAACTAAGCAGCAGCAAAGACTTGCAGGGAGCACAGTGAAAAATGATATAATAAAGCTCTACTGGATGGTAACTGATGGAGGAAAATAGATATGAGGGAATTAGGAAAAACTGCAATAACCAAGTTGTTTTGTCACATCACCTCTGCTACCAAACAGCCTTAGTAACTTCATAAAAGCAATTTTAAAATCAAGAAATAGACTTACTAAGCAAATGCGTTACTTGTATTTTTCCCTTTCTCCAAGCTGTGTGTGTCTTCATCTTCAACTCTGTCACCAGATGGTGGTGTCACATCTACATATACTGTACCTGCTGATGCACACAATCATGCTCCATGTGGTCAACATGAACTATATTGAATTGCAATGCTAAGGTGTAAATTGTCTTTCTCTCTGCAGTGATAAGTCCTGCATCATGGAGAGAGGGCCAAAAGCTTGTAAAGATGGTACTGGGTCCAGTTCCCAAGCCTTTAAGGGAGGACCGACCCCAGCCAGCTGACGGACTGAACAGAACAGGTGGGCCTATAGAGTCTTAGCCTTCTGTCCATGCCATACACTCCTGCCTTATGTAACTGTGTTCTGACCTCTAACATACTATTCTAAGATTTCTGTTGGGGGTTAAGAGACACTCAGATTGTGTTAGCTCCGTGACAAAAATGTCTTCTTTGCATTATTTAGGTCTGGCGGCAAGTAGGAGAAAACTGTATCACTTAAGTGTAAATTTGTTTTACTTTTGACTCTCTCCCTTCTCTTCTTTCAAACTCTTGGCCCATTCTGCTTTGATCTGATTTCTAAGGTTACTGTTGAACTTTGAACATGTAACCTGTGATGGCATTATGGTGCAGTTAATGTGTTATTATATCGAGTTGTTTTGCATGTCTGAGCCCCACAGTCAGACAGCAAGACTGACAACAGAGGCAGCCAAAGAATATCAATAAATAAAGAGTATTTGGCGGCTTCTTTACACACACACACACACACACACACACACACACACACACACACACACACACACACACACACACACACACACACACACACACACACACACACACACACACACACACACACACACACACACACACACACACACACACACACACACAAACACAGTCATAGGCTTTGTCTGTAATTCCTCCTAACAGCACACTACTATGGTCAACCTCTATCTTTGCTAGCTGCATCTTTCCTGGGCACCACTGACCGGAAGGAATAGAGATTGACACGCTGTTCTGGTTGGATGCACAATTAGACATGGCCTCATTTCCAGGGGTTGCCCCCAGTGCAGGCTGCGTGTACACTCATTTTGGGGGGGGGGGTTATGAGATAGAGACTCACTGCAGCCGTGTTCAGAAAAAACACGATTTGGATTAGACACTGTAAAATCAAGATGGGAATTTTCAGTTTGGCCCAGATTAGAGTTGCCATGCCAAGCCGGCCTCCAGGCCTCATTTAGTTTTTATGTCTGGCTCTAGTGCTTTATCTTTGGCAGTCACTTGTTTGCACATATTTACATGTAATCTAACATTTGTAACAATGTGAAACTGTATGCTGAATTTGCCTTAGGAAATATAGACTGACCTCACTGTGCAGCTGATGAGTTACACTATCAAAGTATCTGGACTCTGACCAGCACTGTGACAGGAACTCTTTAACCTCTAATCATTACCTAAATGAGGTGCCAGTATTTCCACAAAAAATCGCCTTGCCTCAAGCATCTACACATCATCAATCTTAACACAAGCCCTGTTACATTCACATTTACAGGAATACAACATAGTTGCACCCTAAGGCGCTCCTATAGGACAATCAATTATTTAAAAATAGAAGTAAAAACCAAGAGATTACTAACTAAATCATATAACCTTAATCTTGAGCAAACTAAATAAAACATTTTTAAAGAAGTTAAACACAAAGGCTTCTACGGATTAATCAACACAGCTGCAGAAACAAATTCTGGGGGGTCAAATTAAGGCTTATTATATTTCTTTCTCGTCTATACTGCACCTTAGCTCTGACTATATTACGGTAACTCATGTTTCTTCCCTTGAAATAATTTATGGCACAGATTTTTTTTCTTGTGGCCTGAATGACAGATGTAATATTTCAGCTGCAGCCTTGACGGTAAAATAAGAACGTTATGGAGCTAAGAAAGATTAATATGAAAATATAATTTAAAGTCATTTTACACACACAACTTCAAGGATCCATTGGGAGGGTGTATCTGTGATGTCAGTAAATAACATTTAATTACTTTAGGCTAATTAACTTACACATTGATGTTAAATCATACTTTTCCCGTCAGCCCCTTCTCCCCTCTCTCAATCAGCTCTCAGAGCTCAACGATAAAGAGCTCTGATTGGTCAGTAGGCACTCAGCAGAGTTCCATACTTGATCTCTTATCCTGAGCATAACCTGCCCCGGATAAGGTTCAGCATAAGTAACCATGGTGATCTACCCCGGTAAGGAGAGAACCACATTCGTAGTACTGAAAACACAGTTAACCCTGAAGTTATCTCGATCCCTGAAAATCCTGCTTCCTAGTACAACCCCCAGGTGAACCTCAATGTGTAATCATTTAATTCAATAATAACACAGTGGAAGGTGAAAGGGACACTAAGAATAGGCAATGTACAGCAGGAACTTTCAACATCATATGGAATTTTGTTGTAGATAAGTTACAGAAAATGAAAATCTGCTGGTGTTATTTGTGAGTGCACAAAAATAATAATAATACTAATAATAATAATGCATTTTATTTGTAACACACTTTACATTTTTGGAGAAAAAAAATGTATCACTCTTATAAGTGATACAGAGTTAACAATAAAAATCATGGAATAAAAAGAGGAAGGCAGCTGAGGAAACTAAAAACCCAAGCAAAAGGCTCTGTTAAAGAGGTGGGTTTTAAGGGCCCTTTTAAAAGCGTCCGCAGACTGTGGTGCCCTCAGGTGGTCAGGTAGAGCATTCCACTGACTGACTGACCATCTCCCATGGTGTGGAGTTTAATTCTGGGGGGATGGAGGAGTGGAGGCTTTGTATGGAGGATTGTGGGGTGAGGAGTTCTTTGAAGTGGGTGGGGGGGGGGTTTTGGATGCAGAATCCTGATATCATCGCTAAATCAATTTAAAGTGCCACCCTTCTCTACACACTTCTTTGTAGATGTATGAATAGTGAATTACACTTTAATTGCTTCTTAAATATAGAATTTATTTTAAGTAATACTACTCGTTTTTTCTTCAATTTTAATATTTTTATTTTTTCACTTGTTTATCAGCTTCGCGGCACCGCTCCAGTTCAGACCCACGCTCAGAAGAAAAATCAAGGTCTCGCCCAAGCAGCAGAGAGAGGCCTCATAATGGTTTCCAGGGGCAACCCAAAAACCGCTCCACTACCACATCTGCCCCCTCATCTGCAGATCGAGAAAGGGCCCCAGAGGTTGTAGGTGCAGAGCTGTTGTCAGCAGACATTCAGGGGATACTTGATGACCTTCAGCTGGAGTGCAGAGAAGCTGAGAGGGCCCGGCAGAGATCCCGGGCTGGAAGTGGTGGTAGAAGAGGCCGAGGTGGATCAGGGCCACAAACAAGAACTCCAGTCTCTGCTTGGGGAACTACTGTGACAAAAGGTTCCCCCTCGAGAGGATGCCGCAGCGCGAGCCCAACTTCACACAGACCTCACACTTCTAACTCGGCTGACATGGCGCTCAAAAAGCGACACTACGATGCAGATACGGTCCGCCAGTATATTTTAAAGCAACAGGAGGAGAGAAAGAGACGTCAGGCAGAAGAGAAGCGGGTACTAAGGGAGGAAGGCGAGAGGAGAAACCAGAGACTGCAGGAGCTCTACCGGAAACAAAGACAAGTAGCCAAAACAGTGGCCCTGGCTAGTGAGGTTCCTGTGGCCTCTGTACAACAGCGACTACAGGAGACCTACAACAAACTGATGGAAGAGGTGCAACTGGGCGAGGAGGCCACACACACGCTACCTGCTGCTCCAGCTATTCAAATGGTATTGTTCATACCTATAAAACAAAGTCATCCTGTTTTTATAGATATTCAAGCTTTATGAGGTACAATAATGTGTTAATGTTTGTATTGCCACAGAGGCCGATGTACCAGCCCTCAGGAGAGTCGGACAAAGAAAACAAAAGGCTTGAGGCACCACAGAGTCCTTCAAGCAGTGACCGATCTTTGAATGATCAGCCTGCTCCTCCTTTGTCCAGGTAAACGCATGACCCAAAAGCTCCCAGAAAAACAACCCTCTTAAACTCAGCACAGTTCACATATCACTGTTCCTCCTGGAAATAACATTTGGGCAATAATTACTAGGAAATCCCCTGACTGTAGCAAACAGAGAAACAGTCTATTCCTGGACTCTTTTTTCTTTTATGAACACCCCTAAATGCCTCAGAAGCCTTTTTACTCTGAATTTGGTACAGGAATAAAGAATCTGCTGTAGGGCAGATGCATGAAAGAACATTTGAGGGAACTGACTGGAAACTAAGAAAGGACCTAGTATGTTTTTGCTTGTGAGATATAACAAGTATCTCTGTGTTTATATTAATTGGTTATAAATATCCTGAATATGTGATCTTACACACAATTCTAGTGTATAAACTTGACAACCATATTCTTTATTTATCCGGGTATTTAAGCTTAAGCTGTGAAACAATATGCTGCTTTAGCAAAATTTGCTTTTGCAAAAGACTGTTGAAACAAAATGTAAATAAATGTTTTTAAAGTGCTTCAAATAAGGAAAATTGCTATAAACACAGCTCCTCCCGTTATGAGTACGAGCAATAAAAGAGTTCTATAGTTTACCTTCTTCAGGAGAAAGAATGATAATAATGTCTATGTGCTTCTTTTGATAGCTGTTCAAAGCCAGATCTGTTTTAACTGTCAGACTGTCTCTTTCGCTCTTCTTTTAACATCTCCTTTGTTGCTCTCCTTCTTGCAGGACTGATCTGGATGTCGGAGTTGCGTCTTTGCTTCAGTCCGACCGTTTGAATCCCACTTTTCGTCCTAATACTGGCCCCAGCAGCAGTAGTATGCAGACCCCTTTTGGTGGCCCTCTCCTCTCTCAGCTTCTAAAGCTGGAGTCTGCCGTGGCAGCTAGTGACAGACTGCCCACCCAACAACCGGCCACAGCACCCTCCATCAGGCCACGGTCCAAGTTGTTGCGCATTGAGGCTCTCAAGGCCACAGCTGCCTCCCTTTCCAACCGTATAGAGAGTGAAGCAAGAAAGCTTGCTGGGGAGGGGATCAACTACGGTGCAGCAACTTCAATGGAAGGTGACACTGTTCTGGCTCTTAGACCCTCTACAGCTTATGTTGATGATGGATGCTGGGCGGAAACAGCTGCCACAGAAAATAATGATGTAGGGTTGAGGTTTCAGAGGATTTTGACTAGCACAGGTCAAAGTTCATTCGACGGCACAGTCTTTCCAGGAGCAGGCAATCTGCACACCCTTGGGGGACAGAAACAAACTATGGGTGCACATACCAATCTGACAAAACCAAACACAACATCAGCTGATTTTACAGGGCCCATTCTTAACAGTTATACACATGAAAGGAGGAAGCTGGTGAACGGCTTTGAGGAGGTAGAGAGAAAGGATAAAACTGCACAAAGGAGAGGATATGGTTTGATGGAGGATAAGAATCGGACAGACCTTCATGACTCAAGTGCAGGTTCCATTAGTGAGGGTCCTCTTCTGAGTGAAGGAAGCTTTTCTGAGGATGAGACCAGCCCTCCTCGACCCTCCAACAATGGTGTGCCCAAACCGGCAGATCGCCTGACAGCAGTGGACTACTGTGTGGGTCAAAGAAAGGATTTCAAGCGGATATCTGAGTTTCAGAGGGAGGCAGCAAGTTGCTTGGCCTTCAGCTCACCTTTTGTGCAGCATGAGGGCAGCAAAGCAGCCTGGGAGGAGCTGAACAAAGGGAGCCCTCTAAGTGTCATCAATATTTACACCAAGAACCTTCATAGCCAGGCTAACGGTAAGTTCATGTATGAGAACCTCTCCACTCAGCAAAGCTAAGACATTTTTTTCTTCTGTCAGTGTACATGTTTTCCAACTACCCAATACCGAGGGAAAAAAAGATATAGTGAGATTGTGATGTGATGCGATAAAAATGATTTATCGTTATTTGAATGATCTCAAGTTCCAAGTCCAAGGGTAGATCTTAAATATTCGACTCGTTTCTGTTCTTCTTGTCCTACAGTGATGGGGAGGAACTCTGAGAGGAACTCATCTCCCTCTGCCCAGGCTGTGCACCTTGGAAATGGCTCTGTAGATGCAGCAGTCTATGAAGATGACTTTGTGTCATCATCACATAGCAGCGGATACAGTGGCCAGTTAAAAAGAGGCTCCAATTCACACAGGTACATACATTTACAAGGCTCAATTTTAAAAACGGCCACTAGGTGGCATTCATGTCACACAAATAGAAAGCTCATGAAGCCCTTTCAGACAGCAACCCCCACTCTGTTTTCTTGAGTTCACAGACAGATTGACCCCACAGTCATGATGTTTTATGCGTGCTGATGTGTTCTGTCACAGATTAAAAAAGTTATTGAAGATGATGAGATGAGACATTTTTCTTCCCTCTCTGCTAGTGTGAACACTCATTTTGAGGAGCTGATGAGGAGGTCTCCTTATGATAAAAACACGGGAGGCATCAATTCCAACCATTCATCCATCCACTCATCGAATCACTCGCCACATCTCTCCTCTGGTTCAGCATCTATCTCTTCACCCTTCTCTAAGCACTCCGCCAAAAAAAGAGGTAAAACCTAAAAGCTATATTCACTCCTCTTTATGACAGATATGCATTTGTATTCATATCTGACATTATTAAATCATCATCATTAAATTAAGAAATGTTCTCTATGTGGAAATGTGACTCAAAAATACATTTCTGTTCTGCGTTAAATAAACGTCTCAAATCCTCCGCAGGCACAGCATCGGACCAGAGTGATGGCACCTTGGTGGGAGAGCAGAGGAGCTCCTGCTCGCCCCCCTCTGATGCATTATCCTCTGACTCTAGGAAGAGGGGCTCAGACAAAAGCTCTGCCCACAGCCAGGCCAGGAGTGTCCACCATAATGACACTTTAGGGGAAACCTTTCAACAAAGGTAATGATCTTCAGCACACTACCATAAATGGGAGGTTTGATACTCTTGGAAAAGGAAGAAAAAAGTTCCTCTTGTAAAGTCTCATGGTGTTTTTCAATTAAAAGCATGTAAATCCTGTAGTTCATTTGTTAGGCGGTTAATGTTTGTAATTGAAGCTTTTGTTTCCCGTGGATACAATTTAATCTATTCAAAGTTATATTTAAAATGAGCCTGTTAAGCCAAACAGTTTCTTCCTGTACTTCCAAGCTAAATTGAAATGGAAAGGGCATTGTGAGATAAATGGGATCTTCTCAGTTTTCCAATATCTCAGTTGTTTCTTTTCCAACCTCCAAATCCTCCACTTGGTATAAACTGTTTTAACCCTAAGGTTAATTTATCTGGGCATGACAAATAACTTAAGTATGCTTAGAGAGTCGTAGTTAAGGCTGCCAGTACAAACAGACTTGTGGCTTGCTGCTCTGTTGAAGGCCTGAGGGTTTTAAGCAGTGGTGTAGTGCTCAGTGCAGGAGGTGTCCAAGAGAAAAACACACTGGCTGTCTTGTGTTGGGGGGCCTGCAGGGTGGTTTGTCGGGTCAGCCAGCTTCCCCACAGCTCGGGCTTGCTGCCAAAGGAAAGGAGAGAGTTTTTTTCCTTTTCTTCTTACTCTCAGTGCCCAGTATTGACATTTGAGAACTCTAATGGTACTCTGAAGCCCAGGTGGCAGATTCCTCCCACTTTGTGGAGCTTGTGTGTTTTCCTGAAGAAAGAAAAGACATTTAGATGGAGTGTATCCCTTTAAGCACCATAAATAAAGCTGATTGTTGTTTTCTTTTACTGGTGGTGACTAAGTGTATCAATGATTCTGTAACTGTGTTACATACTGTATTCATGTCTCTTTCTCTGCAGTTGACAGCTAACTGGTTAAGCATTGAGATAATGGCTTTTTTGTTGTATTTCAATATTTTGTTATGTCCGACTGTTATCCTTGGATAAAAGATGCTACTGTCTACTTCCCTAAATGGTAAAATGAATTCTGATCCTTTAAGACATTGACCTTGATCTCTGAGCAGCACAATATATCCATTCATAGTCTGGGCCTCTGTCAGCAGGTTATGCTGCCTCATGCAATCTGAGGTTGGCATGACCAGGGGCCCCTTCTTTCTTTATCTATGCGTCTGTCATCTCACACTTCCCTGTGTGTGAGTTTGTTGTTATTTTACAACTGTTTGAAAACATTCAAATCTGTGCTGCACTATATTCAATGTTTTGCTTGGAAGGGATCATTTACAGCTGATCCCAGTCCACTAAATCCCATCGACCTTAATGCTTGATATGAATTCACTTTAGAGAATATATTTCCTCACACTACTATTTGATCTTAAACTATGTATCTAAGCGTTTTTCTGTCCCTCTTTTACTACATTTTATTTCTAGTTTGGAAGTTGACGGTAAGAAGTCCTCAGCAGCTGCGCCAAAACACGCTTCTCCACGCAGCTCTCCAGATTCTTCTCCTCCGAGTGGATCTAACTCTCCCAGTGAGGCTGTGAGAAGTCGCTCTCTGGGGGCAAATAACCCAAACACAGGCACCAAAACTCACAGCAGTAGAGCAGAGACGAGGACCACAGGTAAATGAAACTCACACAAGTCTCAGGAATAAAAAAAAACAATTAGTAAAGTAAAAACCTAACTTTTTATTATATTTATTTGTGAATCATGTTCTTCTCAATATTCCCTGTTAACCCTTTATTCTCTCTCTCTCTCTTTCTCTCTCTCCTTACACTCAGGTCAACTGCAATATTCCCCAGCTGTCTTGCAGCAGCGCATGGCAGCAGAGCTCCACTACCTGGAGTCCATAGAGGAGTCAGTCCGACACCTCAGTGACATGGAGAGGCTGATGGGAGTGTCCATGGCTCAGCAGGAGAGCGTGTCATTGGCCCAGATGCTAAAGGTGAGAGAAAAGTGTTTTGTAGAAGCTCTAAGTTGTGTTACTCTTTTCAAAGAGTAATCATTTGTAATTTGATACATAACTTAATATTTTGATGGTTTTGAAATAGCAGTTATATTTTGTGTTGTAAGCAGTAAAAAAAATGTACTTGACCTAATGTCTGTATATATGTGACTTACAGTGAGTAAAGTAATTATCAATAATTGTACTTACCAGGGAGTAGAACTGATTATTGATGTTGCATAACATTTACATGACAAGTCTTCTAGTAGCTTTTTCAACCCCCATAAATGTATGTGACTTACTGCCTCACTAATGACTGTATTGATACTCAGTATTGACCTGCTCTCTGACTTTTGACGCTGCAGGCCAAGCAGCAGAGCCATGAGCATGACCTCTACGAGCTGAAGATCAAGGCTGAGAGGGAAGCCCTGGAGGCACAGCTGCAGCTGGAGGAAAACAGGCAGAGGGCAGCCAGGGTACAGCTACACACACACACACACACACACACACACACACACACACACACACACACACACACACACACACACACACACACACACACACACACACACACACAAACACACAAACAAACTCATCTTTCGAATGGTAAGGGGTTTGAGTATTTTTTTTTTCAGTGAGTTTAATATCCATGCTTGTTTGTTTTTTTATCCAGGCTCACATAGAGCTGCAGGAAAGCTTGGCTGGAGCTCAAAAAGATACCTTGGAGGGCCTCCAGGAGGCAACAACAAAGATGATGAGTCAACAGGCTGAGGCAGCACGGTACACAGCCGAAACTGCCCGACACATCAAGGAGGTAAGTAATCACTGCTTTCCTCTTTGCCTGGAAAAGACTTGGTGTCTTCGTTTTGTATCTAAAGCTGATTTACTGTTCAGTTCCTGTAAATACGTAACAATAAAGGCTGACAAAGGGAAGCTTCATATTCTCTTCTGTTCACATTTGGTATGTGAAATGTGTTCTTCTTTGTCAGATGACAGAAATGGCCCGGTCACAGATAGCAGGAGCTTTGGTTGTCCCTCCTGTTGTCACAAATTCCTCAAAGAAAGAACAGCAGAGCCCCTCTCAGCAGCGACAGGATGAATCTGACAGGTGAACTGAAACACCGTTAAGACACAGTTTTTGACTATTGGAAAGTTAAACTGTTTGTGATTTGAGACGATAAAACCAGATTTTGGAAATATTTTGCTCTCTATTGCATAATCCCCTACAGCTTTCAGAGTCAGGTGTCAAGCAGAAAATCAGGACCAGAGGAATCCCTGTCTCCACTGAACAGCCTTAGTCACTCTGACTCGCTATCCTTTAAAAGACCCCACCTCAGGTACCAGTCCCCCAACACCTTTAAAAAAAATGAATTGAATCTTGGAAGAATTCAACAGAATATTTAATCTGTGTTCTTTCTCTCTCCTCAGTGGAGCCGACTCTAGCTGCCACCAAAGCCTAACGCACGGCTCCTCGGACCAGACAGAAAGGATGAAAAAAGGAGCAGTAGAGGGGAAACAGAGACAGAGGGGAGCTGAAGAGAGGGAAGCAGCCAGTAGCTCCATAGAGGAGGAAGTTCTTACAGCAGCTAATGATTCCCTCTGCAGTGACAGCATCCACTCTGTAAATGAAAAAGGTATGTGATTGCAAGAATGGCTCCTTGTTAAAAGTTAACATGCTGACACATAAAGCTCTCCTTAAATGGTAGAAAGTATTGTAAGCACTATGCCACACATTTTCAACAATATCCAAGAAATGAATACAGTTGATTTGAGTGTATGCTGAGCTGTTCTTCTTCTTTTATCCCTCTAGGAGACAGTACTTCAATAGCAACAGAGTACTCTCTAAAGTTTGATGAGTCCATGACGGAGGACGAGATAGAGGAGCGCTCCTTCCGCTCTCTGCTGCCGTCAGAGGCGCACAGGCGTGGAACGAAGGAGAAGAAGTCCCAGCACCACGAGGAATCAGAGGACGATGGAGCCAATCACAGCAAGACACTGATTTCAGGAGAACACAATATCTTAAAGGTGAGAGTGCAACTTGGAGTACTAATTAGTCAGTCAGAGGAATCAGTGATACAGATCTCTTTAATCTGTGATCCATATGGACACCCCGTCACGGTTTATAAAAATAAATGTACTTTAAAATAACTTGCCCTATTTATTTTTATTAGGTGAGGTTAATATCAGTTTGTTAAATATATTAAATAAATGGGCTGATTGTGTAACAAACAAACTTAAAGCTGGTCATCTTGCTTCTCTTTCATTCTATTATCCACACACACACACACACACACACACACACACACACACACACACACACACACACCTGCACCTCTCTTCTCTTGATACACACAGTGGCTTGTCCCGCCCTGCCTCATCCATAAGTACAGTATTTGTGTGTTTCTGCTCTCTTAATAATATTCATCAGCAGTACGCTTTATAAAGACACTTAAATAACCTTACTCACTTTGAAGTTTACTCCATATTCTAAGCGATTTGTGAGTGTATAGGCTTATTTGATCTTGATTTTTTGATGATATAATGTATCTCAACAACCATCTTATCCACACTTTGAGATTTGTGATCCGTTGCACTCTTTGTGGGAGGCAGGTGTGTGACCACTGGCAGAGAGCCAGTGCCTTAAGTGCTTTTTGATTGAGCAAGAAGTTCAAGTCCTTATTTTGTACTTTCAGATATTCTTGTGCTCATAACCTTGCTGTCCTTCTGTTTTTCTTTGTGCTTCCTTTTAATCTCCCCCTTTTAACTCATCATCTGTTGTGTCAGCCCATTGTGTCCTCACACTTTTGCCTCCCTGTTCCCCTTCAGGATGCCAACATGGCCTTCTCGGGTGGACAGGACAGCTTTTCACAGTTCACAATGGATATGGTCCGTCAGTACATGAAGGATGAGGAAGTAAGACTGCAACACCAGAGCTCCTTGCTACATCTCCGCCAGAAAGCTCTCAAAGAGAAGACCAAGACTGAGCTGGCCTGGCTTGAGCACCAGAAAAGGAGGCTGAGGGACAAGGGAGAGGATGACAAAATGCCGCCCATTAGGAAGAAGCAGAGGGGCCTTTTGTTGAAACTACAACAAGAGCAGGTATTTTTAAAAGGAAGCTTAGTGACAGGAAACCCAATTAAGTGATAAATGGACATTAGGATATCGTTTAGCTTTATCATCACTCACTATCCAACTTTGCAGGCTGAGATCAAACGACTCCAGGAGGCCAACAAAGCAGCCAGGAAGGAGAGGCAGCTTTTGCTGAAGCAGCAGAAGGAGATTGAACGCATGAGAAACTCCACACTCCGACTGAAGGAGCGTCTCAAGTGTGCCGGGGGTGAAGCACCACCTGTAAGTAATGCAACAGTTACTAGTCACATTTAAAGCCTGTACTGAAAACCATAGATAGACTTTCAATAATGTTAGTCTCCAGGAGAATACAGAAAGAAAGGATATGTGATTATAACTGTGGAACATGCTGCATGTTCATCTTTTGCATTTCATTACTGGTTTGACTTATTCTCAACCTGTCTTCCATGAATGTATCCCTTAGGAGACCCCCGTGTCAGAAACCCCTCTGTCTGAGGCAGCCTCCGCTAACATCAGACATGCTGAAGATGGCCGCAGCCCTTCTCCTCCGCTCTCCATCTCTGGAAGTGAGACCAGCAGCATCATGCAGAAGCTCAAGAAGATGCGCTCTCACACGGATGAAAAGTAAAGACTTTCATTTTATTTTTTTTATCACTGCTGAAGTCGTGAATCTTTATCAGTATTCTGAACAGTGATTATGCTGCTGAGCCTCGTTACTGCTTTTCTTCTTATAAAAATATTCCACCAAGAAGGAGGAATTCTGATTCCCTTTTTCATTTCTACTTTTTTTTTTCACTCCTGATCAAAGTCTTAGTTATTTCACATGAATTTTGTGTGATACAGACTTTATTGTATATTTTGCAAACCATTGAATCACAGTTTATACACTGGCTAAAGCACGGCTTTATTTGAAATTGGTAAAGCAACTAAGATGTGTTTTAAAGCAGCTTGCACTGAGTGATGCTCGGTCCTCTTCATAGTGTCTTTCTTTTCTTTCATTCCACAATGATGAGTCATACAAGTCCCAAATTCATTTGAATTATTTGCTTTCGTAAGATACTAACCACTGACCACTAACCATCTGCCATCTGTCCTTTGTTGTCCCAAACAAGCTGTGACTGTGTGAATGTGAGGACATGAAGATAAGCATGCTCCATGTTGTTCTCCCTTTCAAAGAGACAAGAATCTAAACTCTCTGCCACAGTTCCCCCGCTCAAGTTCCCTCTTCCAAAATAGAATGTAATTAATTAATGTGACTTTCTGTATTCTTAGTGCTGAATCTTTCTGTTTTTTTAGTTCAGACAAATGTAGCTGGTTCAATCTATTATTTTGAATACTTGTACTTTCTCTCGTTTTGGCAAGTAAGGATATTGGCCTGGACTTTCTGTAGGTCTTTAAAGATCTTAGACTTGGCTAACAGCTTTGGTCAGGTGACTGTAGAGCTTCTCATGACCGGGTAGCTCTAACAATTGGGTTAATTGTTCTGGGTTAAGGATTTATAGCTTCACTGTAAAACCGATTATCTTTACTAAAGGAATTTTTTAGATTTTTAAAAATGTAAACAGTTTCACAGTTTCTGATCAGACATTTATTGATTGATGCTTGGTTCAGTTATCCTTTAAAATAAGCCATTATAGTCTCTTTTTAACATAACACACTAACACAACACTTCTCGTCTTCTCTAATGCTCTTGTTCTTACCTTGCGCTGTTATTCGCAGCATTACTGCCCTCAGCACTTAATGCCCACAAACTAGTTGAAGTGTTGATCACAGTTCAAAGTAATCAAATCGCTGATATTCCTGACAAAACTGATGCATTTAATCACATATGCTCACATGGCTCTTCTCTCTCCTTTTCTCTCTATGTGTGTTTTTCCTTCATGTGTTTTAATATTTTCATCTTTTACATCGTGTGCATTTGTGTGGTTGTTTGTTTCCATTCCCATGTTTGTGTGACACTTATGGCGTTTTGTCTGTTGCGTGCTTGTGTGTTTGTAGACACTGTTCTCCCGTCCACTGCTTCTTCTCTGTGTTCACGGCCCACCACTGGGCCTCCCTCAGTGTCTGTCTTCCCAAACTACACCCTAAATTCCAGCTCTTTATCTACAACCAGTTGGTCAGGTACTGTACAGCCCTCTCTACCTTTTCCCCAGCAACCCCCACCTGGTTTACCCTGCCTCACCCCACCTAAACCCCATGGAACATGCTTGTGTTCATCTACTGGCACTGGGACCTTGTAGGGGTGGGATGGTGAATGATGAGTGATTGGATGCATTGGTTTGTTTTTGGTTTTCTTTATTTCATGGGAGGGGGGGATTTGGTGGGGGAGAAGGTTGAGTGAAAACTCAAGAGTGCTCAAGAAAAGCTGCCTTCCTGAAATAAACTAATCTTTCAAAAACGTAACTTTGATAAATCCCATTTTATGTCAGCGTTCAATTATTTCATCCGTCAGCCAGATGCTAACTATTTTGGCCCTAGTGTTGAAAACTGTGAAGTCTGAAGGTTAGGTTTATTTTAATCGGAGTCTTCCTTGTTGAATCATAAAACCAGCCCCTGAGTTGGGGTTACCCTGATTTCTGTGATGTTAAATATGTGACTATCCCCCTGTTTCTTTCTTGCCTGTTGGACAGAGCGATGCAGTGCAACTCTTCAGTGTCATTACAATTGAAGCTGCTCCCACCCAGTTATTGATAGAAAATGTTTTGAGATCAAACCACACTATGGCATGGAAGCAAAGGACTTTTGCAGAGAACAGCCCATAGATGGAGTGGTCTTTTTCTCTAATGAGCCCAGTAAATCTTAACTAGCCCTCTTTATTAGGTAACTGTTGCATAGAATTGAATAATAAGTACAAACGACTATCAGCTGTAATAGAGTTTGGGAAGGCACTAAAAGAAACCCCCTCTGTGGTGCGTCAGTATCTGGCCCTGTCATCAGTATACATTAGGTCAAGAGAAAAGCCTTTAGATTAGATTAATGCTAAATAATACTGCACTGTAATGGCACCCATAGCTGTGGGAGACCACATTACACAACAACTATAGAGGAATGCACTTCATTTTGATAGGCATTTGCAGAGATATATATGTGTAGGAAACCTGTTAAAAGGGGGTTTTAGAATTACAGATTCGGTTGGCTTTCCGGGACAGTATTTAAATCTCCAAATTGTCATCGGTTCCGGGATAAACAATGTTTGAGGTGTGTGTGACTGCACCCAATCAGTGTCCGGAGTTTTAAGTCTGATGCATGAACCTTACATTTTCACTGTTATTTTCCTTCTCTTTTTTTTCTCCTGATTGAACTGTCACCACTTTCTGCTTGCGTATATAATGGGTGCTTGTTTGCTTCCTTGTTTGGACGATTACTCCAGGAATCGAAATTGGTAAAGCATGTTTTGGGTGGGTTTGTGTGTGTGTGTGTTTGCTTCTCTGAATTTGTGAAAGGTAAGTTCGCAGTGGTAAATGGATGACGAGGTGATTTGGGTTGGCTTTCTTTTAGCTCATGTTTTAACTTGCTTTATCTAATTGTCTTGGTTTTACTTCTCTTCTCTCCCTCATCATTGCCACCTTACTTTTCCCCTCACCCTACACCTTCCTCATGTCCCTTTCCCCATTTTTCATTTTCTTCACCTTTCTTCTTACCAATCTTCTATGATCCTTTTCTATCTTTCTTCCTCTTCCTCTCCCTCTTCATCTCTCCCTCTTTCTTCTTCCCATGTATACTTACCAACCCCTCCCCAGGTTCCTGACAAAGAGGGAGCAGCAGCTGATGCAGAGGCGTCACCATGCCGAGGAGCTGCTAAAGTGGAAACAGCGGCTAGACCAGGAGGAGGCAGAGGTCCGTAGGATGGAAAAGGAGGCCATGGCTGTATGGGACAGAAACACACTCAAGAGCAAGAAGGACGAGATGTTGGACATTAGCCCCAGACAGCATCAAAGCTCAGAGCCAAGAACCGACAGTGAGAAAGGTGAAGAGACAGAAAGCCATCTTATATTCTGCCAGGTTTTTAAAAAAGATGCAGCATGAAGGCAAAGTGAAGAACAAGATATCTTATTCTTTTGGAATAATGTCTACATAAATCTGGAAAATAAAGCTATCTTCATGTTTGTTTGTTCATTGGTTTACATATTTCAGAGTATGTGAGTGAGGGCGACATTTCCTCATTAACACCAGAGTCCAGTATACACACAGAGGGACCTGGATCCGAGCAACCAGGAAGTCCATCTTCAGTACAACCTGTGTCGGCCTCTGAAACACCTTTGGCTTCCATCCAAAGCAGCCATGCAAATTACACCCAGGACTTTACCTCAGCTTCACACTCCCCTCACAGACAAGTATGTATACATTTGGTTTTCCATCCTTCTTCTCCCCATCAGTATTAGGTCCTACACATTTATTAGTAGATACACTATTTTTGAGTCTAGATAGATGTTGCTCCTTCTGCTGCTTCACCAAAACGGACCTCACGTATCTGACAGATAAATGTTTGCTATTGTGTGCAGGCTTCAGCTAATTAATTTCCAACTAATACAGTTAATAAGATACCACAAATATTAATATATATTGAAAAACAAAAAGCTTAATGTTGTGTTCCATCTCTACAAGGGAGTATCCACAGATTTGTTATTGTACTGTACATGTGAAATACTAATCCGGACGTACCTCCATTAGTCCATCTGACTGAGTTGTTATATCCTTAAGTAATACTCCATTCTCCTCCCCTCCTCCTCTTCCTTTTTTCAGTCGGCCCAGACTCCATTCAAAGGCAGCCACAGCCCTGCTTCCTCTCCTTCAGATGGCAGCAGCAAAACCAGGATGCAGCTCCGCTCCTCCTCCCGGACCCCAAACCAGGCCTGCACTCAGCACTCTGAATCCCCCATGGCCCCACAGCCAGGTGAGTGACCAGGGACTTTTTTTTTAGAAATGGTACGTAATACTTTGTGTACGTATAACAGTTTGTGATAGTTCTTAGAGAAGATGGAAAGCAGAGTGACTGGACATAATGCAGCTGTAATGCTTGCCCTGTGTAGTCAGGCATAATGTGATGCTGCCAGGAATACATTATGCAAGCACTTCCCTGATACCTAACCGGATTAGCTGTGTGATAGAGGTAGAGAAGACTATGCATTGCACAAAGTTATTGCTAAAGCACCAACAGTGCTGCTGGCCTAGTATCTGGTCTAGTATCTAAGTGTGTTTTATACATATTCAGTCCTTTAATCCTAAATGTTCATTGCATAGAAGCAGCCCACATCATGCATAAAAATGAACGCAACACACTTACTTGAGAAAGTGTACACTAATCTCCAGAAGAATTGGGTATGAGTTCAAGTGGGCACAGAGTTGGATTACTCTTTGCTAATCAGAGGCCTGGCACGGGTTTCACATTATAACAGCGATTTTCTAAATGTACCCCCAGAACTCATTTCAGACCAGAGCGACATAGAGACCCGTATCAAGGCCTTGACGGAAGAACTCCGAAAACGAAAGTCTATGGCCAACCAACTGAAGAAAGAGCAGAAGAAGAGGAACAAGGAGCGTCTGAAGGCAAAGGAGGCCAGCCTACTGAAGCAGCTGGAGGTGTGTGTGGGCATGTGCTACATATATCCATGATATGTTTAAAATTGAAATACATTTCTTTTGATATTAATTATTTAACTCATGTTTTCCTTACAGAGCTATGACAACTTCATCGAGAAAACTAAGGCAGAACTGAACAAGGAGCCAGACTCAACACTGGATTCAAACTCCCAGATCAAAGACTCTGCTTCAGTTGCAGAGCAGTCAAGTATTAAAGCAGCTGCTCACAGGTACTTAACAGCTGTAAACATACCACAACACAACAACACATTTACTATAGTATGAGTCTTAAAGATTGCTGTTTAATTAAAAGTGAGTCCTTCTCCCTCAGCTCTGAAACCAGCAACATCTCCGGTTCTGAAAGAAGGCGAATTGAAGCTTCATTTGAAAACAGTGGGTGATAAACTAACTAAACCAATATGAACAATTATGTTAACTGTTTATTAGTTAAGGATTTTTACAATGGTAATTCTTTTTTTCTTCTCTTGTGCCAGATTACCTTCCTCAACCTGATGATAGTAGATCGACTTCAGTGCCTGAAGAGTTGTCTGATGAAGACCCACCAACGGTCACTCCAACCCCGGTTCATGGCAGCCCAGAGTGTCCAACTTTACAATCAAGGAGCCGTTTCTCCACAGACAAAAGTCTTACAACACCTTCCTCCAAGGAAGCCCAGGCACAGCTGAATGAGGCTGGAGGAAAGAACATTGACCTTTATCAAAGATCTGACAAAGTGAGCTTACAGTTTGAGGATCAGCATTCTGAACTTCACCAACAAGAAAAGCAAGACAGCATGGACTCTCAGTGGAAACTGTCTAAAGCCAAATCCTCTTCTATTAGTGAAGAAAAGCTGTATTCCCCATCTGTAATTGTAGAACAAGATAATCAAACAAAGTCGAGGGAAACATCTGAAGCTGAACAATCTAACATTATCGCCTCTAGTAAGTCACCTTCAGCTACAATGGACCTCAAAACCACAGCACATCTGAGCCCCCACTCCACATCCAGCAATCACTCCTGCTCCCCTGACTCGGTTGAATTTACTTCAAAGAAGGAGGCACCCATAAAGGATGTCGAGACCTCATCTCCCATAGCGGATGGTTATCATGATGACTTTGAGTCATCAGTGGATTCTTCGCCCCGAGGAGCTCTCTCTCAAATCTCAGAAATCAAGGCCTTGGGAAAAGACTCCCCTAGCAGAGCCACTCAGTATAACAGCCAGTCTGAGGAGGTAGAGGAGGAGATAGCTGAAGATGTGAGTCACCAATCAGGGACTAGTGTTGCTAGCAACCAATCTGGAAGACAGCTAGATCTTGGCACTTGCAAAAAAGACTCCCAAAACAACAACAAGGACAAAGTTAATTCTAGCCTCTCACCTTCCATGTCCCCTCTTGTTAGAGATGAAATGCCAAGTTTTAAGACCGGCGATCGTGTTCTTGTCAGTGGTGTTCAGCCTGGCACTCTGAGATTTAAAGGTCCAACCAGCTTTGCTCATGGCTTCTGGGCTGGCGTGGAACTGGACAAGTCTGAGGGGAGCAACAACGGTACTTACGAGGGCGTTGTATACTTTGAATGTAATGAGAGCCATGGCATCTTTGCTCCTCCAGACAAGATCACACACCTGCCAGACAAGTTTGAGATTTACACTGACACCACAGAGGATGAGGACTCATTTTTTGATGATCTGTCAGATAAAACTGGGGATAAACACAAAACAAGTCGGGACAAAACTCAAAATTTGAAGAACAAAAAAGAAGAAAGAAATCTGAAGGTCTCTGCCTCTGGAGATAAAAAGGTTACAGATGAGTTAGTTCACAAAGTTGAATCCAACCTCAATTCACAGAATAACAAAGAATCAGAGCAGCTCATTCCTAATGGCAACACGGGGTACATTATGCTGGATTTAGAAGATGCACCTACCACACTCCTCATCTCTGACATGGACAAAATGGGTCTGACAAAGCAGAAGATTACTACCTCTTTTGAGAGAGAAGATGTAGACTCACCCTGCCAGTTCACTCCTGCAGACCTTTCCTCAGACATCAGACAAGATAAGGACAAAGAGAAGGATGAATACTCACTGGACATGTGTGCGGACAAGCTCCTCAACAGCTTTGTGAAGGACGCTGTGGAGCAGTTTGCTGTAATCAAAAAGGCTAAAGAAAAGAAGATTCAAGCTGCCAACCAACTGAACGGAGAGCTGTTCAGTGAGCATGCTGAAGAAGAAGAATGGTTACCCTCAGTGGAACAAAAAGACGGTCTGCCATTCTTCCTCTCTGCAGAAAAAGAAGAGCTGTCTTCTCCAGAGCTGTGTAACCGAATGGTGAGTGACTTTCTGGTCCTCTAATAACCTGTTAACCAACGCTTGAAGAAATTCAGTGGAACTATTAAAAGTGTTTTAGTGCTCTCCATGGCTCAATTTGGGAATTCTTACTGTGGGGAAATGATATAATCAAATATTTGACTATCACTACTTGTTGACTTGACCTGGTGAATCTTCATTTGGAGTGTTTGTAAAGCCAAAGTCCACCATGATGTTGACAGACTTTATTGATTGTGGTCCACTTTTCTGAAAATGTTTCTGTGTCTGAAAAAAACAGAAAGAAAGAAAACTTTCAGGCAAGATCAAAAGTGTAAATATTTGATTGATAATGTGACTTAATATGCCACATATGTCAAACTGTATGTTAGCATGAAGTTCACTTATTCCTGTATTCCTTTCACAACAGGAGAGCCCTGTGTTGGGGGCCAGCGGGCAAGAGGAGCTAGCCAAGAGACTAGCAGAGCTGGAACTGAGCCGCGAACTGCTCGACGAGCTGGGTGAAGATCAGGACTGGTTTGATGAGGACTATGGACTGAGCTCCCGCAGAGAACAGCAGAGACTCAAACAGAAGCAGAGAGAGGAGGAGGAAGAGGAGAGGCTGGGGAGGTCAGGCGCATCAGCTGGAGCAGCCCTGGGGGGGCTCGTCTCTTCACCAGGTGGGGAACAGCAAGTTAAAACCCCACCTAGGCCTGAGCTACCTCTTCACCTGCCGCCCAAACTCCCTGAGCAGCCCGCCATGGTGGTGCCCCACTCAGCCACTGAGGTGGAGAAGATGGTCCATGCTGCCATTCAAGAGATTTGGGAGACTTGTGGTCTTGGTAAGGAGGGAGCTCTGACCCTCGCCCAGCTGCCAAACCCCCAACCTTCACAAGAGTATCTGGGTAAAAAGGCAGACAGCCAGGACCAGGAGGCCCTCTCCATCCGCAGCTACAGAAAGGTAAATAGGAGAACTCTCAGAAACATCAAAAAAGAAGTAACGCTTGTGTGTAATACAAATATCATACAATGCCTACAGGCATCCTCTACTACTTTTTCATCACCTATCAATCTCACTCTATAAAATACAAACACAACTGTCCTGTGTAGCCATGAGTTCATCACTTACTGGGTGAGTTTACTGAAGGTGTATGCCAGGGCTGGATGGCTTGAGGGCTTGATGTCAAATATACTTTTCTGTTTCAGTGTCTTTGACTTCAGTTTTTCAAATGGTCAGGTACTTTGTTTTTAATACAAACCCATGTGCTATTGAACTGTGAATGTTGCTAACAGTTTAACATGTATAGATTCAACCAACAGATCATTTCTCTTAAATTTTCACTTCTTAAAGAATTATTCCCCCTTCTCTCCTCTGTCCATCTCTAGGCTGTTTATGACCTGACATGGGAGATGCTGCAGGAGATCTATGCTGAGGACTCCAACACTGATCAGCCTCAGTGGGTCAAACCACGCCGTATCAAGTCATCCTTCTTCCATAGAGTAAGGACAGCTGGAGAGATCGCCAAAGTCCAGGTAGAGCACGGCATGATAATAACCACCATCTCAATAAATAGTAATACTCTCATTACTTTCTTGGTCCTAAACTACCGGGCAGTATTCACAAATACTCTGAGAATACGCCCTGAGAGCTCCTAACTTAGCTTTAACATTTCCAGCAAGAAGTCACGGCCTTTCCTTGTGATACATATTTAAATGTGGCACCATTCCTCTTACTAAAGTGATGTTTTTTTGTGTGTGTGTGTGTGTGTACCAGGAATTCATCACAACAGAAGTACTACAGCTGTACAGTCTGACGAAAGATCAGTGCCAGAAGACTGACTGGCAGAAGATGCTTAAATTTGGCAGAAAAAAACGGGACAGAGTCGATCACATACTGGTAGGTTCCATAGATTATTTAAAAAGCAGCTGTTTCTAATAATCACAAGTTTCAAACCTACTTTGTTTCTTCTATTTATTTTTTCTTGATTCTCTTTTCCTTTGGACAATCTGAAGCCAATTCTTGGAGATAATATCAGTTTATCTAAATGTTAGAAGTTTTCAGCTTGGCATATTTAAATGTATCATTACAACCTGTAATGTTGTATAAGTGAAGTAGAGTTTATTAAACCTTTTAGCAGAATAGTTTTATACTTGAGATGCTGATGTTTAATCTTTGAAGTGTTTGACTTTTCGGCTGTTCTGCTGCAGCTTCATCACCTCATGTTTGTCACTGTGCAGGACTTAACCTTGTTTGTCTCTCAGGTTCAAGAACTCCACGAGGAGGAGGCCCAGTGGGTCAACTATGACGAAGATGAGCTGTTTGTCAAGATGCAGCTGGCAGACAGCATCTTTGATGCTTTGCTGAAGGACACCGCTAACGTGCTAACGCTAATCTGTGAGAAAAGGGCAAACGTAGACACCCTCTCCTGACAGCTTTCCTACTTAAGATTTTTGAACTACAACCTCTAGCTCAACCCCCATCTCCCCTCACCCCAGTGAACTCCAGGTAACTTAACCGCTGCTCTGTCTTCCACCAGCTGATGTGCCAACAGCAACCCTCAGATGCCTTCAGTCCTAGCATTACCTCTAAACGACTTAACAACTCCAATTTATTTTTGTGTTATAAAACTTGCTGAATGTGCTTCAGCTAATGTTGTGTTTGTTCTATTTGTTCTACAAACAAAACCTTTAAAGTAACTAGCTTCAGATCTCTCCTCCTAGACTGGTCCTTTTGTAAACACCAGTTGGAGAGTGGGAAGATTATTTGATAGGATTGACTGTGCCATTTGTTAGCATTTCAAGTCCATCTATGCTGCTAAGGATTTTAATATATATGAAAAAAATGCTGGGACAAAAACCGGTCGCTATATTTTGTACCAAACCTTAAAGTAAATATATGTATGGATTCAAAAATTGTAAAAGAGTAGCAGATATAAACGAGATAATTTGTCCATGAGTGATTTGACAGTGACATGATATGGGTTGGCCGAGTTAACCAGCTCCTTAAAATGAATCCACTAGAATGAGTTTCAACATGGGGCTGTGAATTTGATTCTATGACTCACAGACATCAGTTAGCTTGAGCTGGAATAAACAAACTAGAAATGTGTCACTTTGTCATTGATCACATGTTGTCAGACTGTGCTGTCTAAAATCATCTATGACATCAGATATTGTATAAAACATTTCCTTCATTAATATATTTAGAGTGTAAAAAATGTTTGATGAGGCATGTGGAACATATTGAATTGTAAATGACATTGTTAACATGTAAAGAACAGGTTTTGAACATCAAATGAAACTGTAGAAAGCACAAACAGAAATGTGAATGTGAACTTGGCAATAATTTATGTAGGAGGTTTGAAGAATTCGATTCAATCCAGAGGTAGCCCGTCAGGGGGGAAAACTGTATTATTATTTAATTTTTGGACGTGTATCTCTTCTGTTCTTAATGACTTTTTCATCGCAACAACTGTCCACTTAGTCAACACAATGAAATGTATCCCACATCTGTATGTCATGTTTATATCTAGAAGGTATGCCCTCTTATGGATTTACTCATTTTAAAGGTTTCAAACAGCTTATACAAAGAAATGCCTGCCAATGATTTGCAGTTTACTTTGTTCTTTAATCTACATCTCAGTCAACATCGTTTCTCATCGTTTAACTATTAATGTTTCATGTTAGCATCACAGGGAAAAAAACCATGTCCACTCATGCTCAAAGAGCCAGTCATCTTAGTTCCCATACTGCTATTTTATTTTTTAAGGTTTCACACAATCCTTTTCCCTTTTGAGTCTAAACACACTGAGTATTTAGTATGCAAGTAAGACACACAAGACTGTCAGTCGGCCTGATTTCAGGCTTTTAGAATCAAATCATAGGACAGTACTGACATGCTGGACTTGAACCTTCATTGTCCTCCAGTCCTTCTACGTTATTTGACCTGAGAATACTCCTGTTGTCTTTTTTTCTGTAGCGGCATAGATCTATTTTTCCCCTTTCTGCTTTGGAAACAATGCTTAATGATGATCAGCCAGTTCCAACCAGCTGTCTGAATGTAGCCCAGTTATGTAGTCAGACGATTAAGGTATTGTTTCTCTACATTGTTCAAGTGCCTCTTGTAGTAGAGTTGAAGATTTATAACAGACTCGTTGATGTCTCAACATCCTTTGGACCTATTTACTTTGAATGTCTCATTCAACTGCTGTGTACCACCACTTTGTGAATGATCTTTAAGTGACTGCTCTTCTCTCTATCCACTTTACCAATCCTTCAGTTTCTGCCTTATCAGTCCTTCTCTAGCGTAGCATAGCTGCTGAGGGTGGTTTTGAAACCTGTCTCTTTTTCTCCTCTGCCCCAGCCTTTTGGCAATTGTTTGTAAGCGAATTACTGTAAATGTCATCTGCTTCTTGTTCATGGTGCATATTGACACAGTTGAGTCATTTTATTGATGAACTGTATCAGGAAGGAGTTTGTGGACACTCCACGCACACAGTGTGAGTCACTGAGCTGACGAGGCAGAGCACGGCAGGCTGTATGTAACAAAGGGCTAAATTTGGTCCTCACTGTCAGCGCTGCTTTCTGATCTAACAAACTAACTATAGTTTGTTCATCTTCACAGACAATCTGCAGCTGAAGTGACCTTAAACTGAGTACATGGTCTTTCTTCTACTGTCAGTGTTTCTGTCTTATAGCTTCATATATATCTTCAAACTGTAATAATACATTGTATAAAAAGACCAAAAACATTTCACACCAACCCTCTCCATACTGTCTTACCTATATGTCTGGTCCTTAGGCATATGTAACTGTAATTGTGAGATGATTAGTACCTTAGAAACACTTTCTGCAAGGTTTTATTGCAGACCTTGGATTTTCCTCCTGACTTGATTGTATGTGAACGATGTTGAGTTCCCTTCTGTAACTATGCAGTACTTGGTCGTATGCATTGCTTTGTATGTATGGACCAAACAGGTTAGACTCTTGTTGTAGTCTGTAGATCTAACAAGTCTTCAGGAAGCTTGAAGCTGTTTGTTGTAGGATGGAGCTGCTTCTATCTGAGGCAAATGACCTGATTAAAGAGTGCAAATATCTGATTTAATAAAGTTAGCACAAATGATTTGATCATCTAAATTAACCCTGTGGGGCTACATTTTCCCTTCTTCATCTTTTAAGATGTTGATGAATATTTATAATAATGTGCTGTTAGAGTGCGCTGAATGCACTTGAAGACTTGTACAACTCCTTTATTGGTGTAAATATATTGTCTATCCTTTCTGATCCACTGTTACTGTAACCTAAATGATTGTTTTAAAATAAACACTGTTTACTTTGCAAATATGTGCATAGTATATATTGGTTAACTAAATGAACTTGTACGGAATTGTAAATAAAGCTTTCATTGTTTCTCAAAGAAAGCGGACTTGAAATGTCTACTTATTTATTCCAGTGCTCGCCTTCAATTCTAGATGCAGCAGCACAACAAATCTGCTCTTTATGTTTCTGTTTGTGTCTGGATTTGACAGCTGCTTTCTTTGGAACTGCAATTTGAGAACAATGAGCACTGATGAAAATCATCAAATTGTGAAAGGATTTATAGAACTGTGTGGTGGACAATAGTGAAAGCACAACACCTTCTGCATGTTTGGGAGGAAATGCATTATTCTGATCCAACTTCAACTTTATTTAAACGACAATATTTAAATGTGACAAAAGAAGACAATAATGTACAGGAATTCAATTCAGGATACGATACGTTTATGGAAATATGTAATTTTTTTTTTTTATATGATTCATTTATTTATTTTGTGGCTGATAAAGATGCTACGGGTTGGCTTTTCTGGGAATTTTGTATTTAATTTTATTGGTGATATTTCAGTAGTCCTAAAATCCTAGAGATGTTTTAAAAGACAGATCTTCTGATACAAAGACATGGACCTTATTTTACCAAAGTAAAGATTATTATGTTGGTAACGTTGGAGGTTATGAGGAAAATGTTTTAGTTAAAGGCTCGGGTGAAAGATCTGATGACGTTGCCCGGTGGGTGACGCTCGTTGGTTGTCATGGAGATAACTTAATTCACTGACGGATGGATGCGTGTGACGAAGATCCAAGTAGGACTCTTTTCATTCAAAACCTTGCTCCTTGGCAAGAGTACACTTTTGGTAGTAGTCATAGTTTTTATTTTGTAATTCTATTATTATTATTATTATTATTATTGTGTTTTCTATATGAGAGCCACTCACGCGTCACTGAGATCACCTCCCATCACTTTCTTGATTATATGAAACAGGTTAATGAGTGGGATGAACGCATGTGGGAGGGTGTGTCTTTATTGAGCCTTTGTATTTTGGTCAGGCACTAACTGGTCGGGAGGAGGAGGGGGGAGGACCCGTGAAGTCTGCCACTGGCCTGGAAAAGGAGACGGGAGAAAAAGCAAAAAGTTGAGTCAACTTTTGAGGCACGGAGGTCGAAACTCGCCGTCGTCAAGCTGCAGCAGCTCGGACTGACGAAGATGGCGCGGAGCTTCGGACGTGCCACGTCTCGGTTTACTCACGAAATACAAATATGCCCCAGAAAGATAGCGACATTTGCAGTTGGGTTGTGTTTCTGTCTGGTTTTTCCCTCTTTCGCGGATGCTGGACTGTACTCGGCTTCTGACCAGGTCATCGTGTTGAGTCCGGACAATGTGGACTCGGTTTTAGTGAACTCTACAGCAGCTTTGGTTGTGGAGTTTTACGCTTCATGGTGTGGACACTGTGTCAACTTTTCTCCGTATTACAAAAGCCTGGCTCGAGATATAAATGGTACGTAAGTGCAACATGTCACGTAGCTAAAGGTGTACACAGGTATATTAGTCCAGTGTACTGATACATTATGTCCACTGCGTTGTTAAGATGGTTCTACAGTGAGGGACTAATGCTCCTTAAATCATTTTAGCCTTTATATTACATTGGTATTACACTGTATTTGATCAACTGCATAGACCAAGCTGTTGTTTTTGATCTGTTAATTGGAGCATATGATCTAATGAGTGTTTTTATTCTGCTCAGCACTGTGGCTCCATATCACATCCTCCAGCTAAGTTTTTGTTGCTGTAGCTCATGGGACAAAAGAAATATCACACACAGCCATTGTAATAAATACAAATGGGATGATGGTCAGTCAGGCCTTAGTCATGGGATTATTTCAGTCCTATGGTTTTTAATCCTGAACCGAACAGTCATCTCCAAATCATCTCTTGTAGTGCCTTGGTCTGGTACGGTTAACCTGTTGCTCATACCTGAGTAAAATGGCAGGTTCAAATGTTGTCCTGATAAGTGTCAGTTGTCATTAGTTAGTCCACACATAAATTATGTGGAGGGTTGAAATGAAGCCCTGATTACGGATGATTTATAATATAGAAGTCAAACTGCTGTTTATTATAAAATGGCTCTGGCGTAATGCTCATTGGCACAAAATGTCAAGACCCCATCAGCAAGTCTCTCTCTCTCTCTCTCTCTCTCTCTCTCTCTCTCTCTCTCTCTCTCTCTCTCTCTCTCTCTTTATTTGATGTCTCTGCAGAGTGGAAGCCAGCTGTGGACCTGGCAGCTTTGGACTGTGCTACAGAGGTCAACATGAAGCTCTGTGTAAGATTTGGAATAACAGGGTATCCCACTTTAAAGGTATTACAAAGCTGTTAAAACTTTTTCTCCACAGTGATGTTATTCTCTATTTTGGACTTACATAAAGTGACCCAGTCAATTTTCCCAACTTTAAAAATGTCTGCCCGAATTAGATGAGATGCAAGATTACTTTAAAAGTAGACTAGTCTACATTAAGATACATCTTATTTCTTGTTCCTCCAGTCTAGGGATTTAACGGGTCACAAAGGTCATGGTTCTGTTGGGACCTCTGTTTTCGGACCACAGTCTGGTACAACTTTGGTTCAACGTGGACAACAAACAAAAAGTACTCACCAGGATGGGACATTGTAGCTAGGTTTGGGTACTTTTAATAAATACTTCAAGCCGTTTTTGTCTACAGCCTTAAAAATGTGTTCGCTTCGGTAATGTCTTTGACCCTCTCTGCTTTCACATCCAGAGGTGTTTCTTTAAAACAGCAGAGAGAACTTGTTGGACAGCTGTTGTCCTTCTTTGAGCTCCAGTGATTGGTACCTCTGGCTGATATTCATTAGCATGTTTGATGTTTTTCCCATGACATACCACACTGTGAACCCAAAGTTTCCCCACACTACTGATTTATAGAAGCATCTAGCTCTGCAGTGTCATCCTCCTATATTCCTATTTTTCTTCTGTGTTTTGTTTCATCTGCATCTTCTTTTTTTTAAAAAAGCATTCGGCAAACATTTAGGAGCGTTAATGCCACCTGGATTGTATGATTGCCTGTCTTCTCCACTCAGACGTAGTCGTCTTACGACTGCATGCATCAAACCATACTTTACAAATACTGTTATATTTAGTATGTTTCTGTATTTTAAAAATGTAATGTGTGGATTGAATGAATAAAAATCACCTTTTGGAGGCATTGTCATTTGGAAACTTCAAAATCTGTAGAATCCACTGATTAAAAGTATTATATTTGTTTATCCCTGTGTCAGTTGTATAATTAGAGTTCAGTATAATCCTGTGTCATTATTGGGAGGAGTCTTGCTCCCTATTTTAAAGTGATTATGCATATCTAGAGCTGCACATGAAAACATGATAATGCATGTCCAAGAGTTTGTCCCCAATCTAGTTAGCGTTTGCATGATCAGCATCCACACTGTGAAGGCCTCTAGCTTGCAACATCGGCATGTGTGTTTTATATATGATCAGTCATTAGTTGTGTGTGTGTGTGTTTGCTCTGCTCACATTCCTTGTCACTCCTCGCTGTCTTCCAGCGAAAGCCGTTGAAACAAAGAGCTCCTTCTGATTCAACTCAGGATGAAGCTCCAACATCTGCGACTCATTTAAACCAGGAAGGATTTAGGGGTCAGGGCAGGCACAGGGAAAGCTGCCCCCGCCACTACCAAACATTAGACAACATGGCTTTGGTTCATTCATGGCAGTATGAGGGTCGTCTTATCGGATCTCTCTTCTCCCTCTCTCTCTCCATTCTCTGTAACCGAAACTGTCTCTTTCTCCCTATAGTTCTTCCATGCGTATTCAAATGCTGGTGCTACAGGACAACGCTTCGGAGGTACCACTTCTACTGCTGCCACTACTAAACACATGGAATCTATTGAGTTCTAATATAAATAAAGAAGCCCTCATATTAAATTACATTTCATATAGAACGTGCAGTTTCAGGATTCAGTAGGTCAGAATAGAAATATGCATGTTGATCAAAGTGATATATGTAGTTCTGTTTTTCAGCCTTAGATCAGCTTGTGCATCATTAGATACTAAAATGGCAGTTATTAGTACTTACACCCAGGTCGTCATGAGTGTTTGTCTTTGACCTCCAGTTGCACATCGTGATGTTAGGCGGCTCCGTCAGAAGGTCATAGACAAACTGGAAACCCATGCCCTAGAGCCCTGGCCCCCAGCCTGCCCCCCACTGGAGCCCACCAGGTAAAACACACACACACACACACACACACACACACACACACACACACACACACACACACACACACACACACACACACACACACACACACACACACATATCTTCTGTTAAATCAGTCTTTAGAAGACTGCCTTTCTGCTTTCTTACAGTGCAGACGCTTTTCTTCTTGCTCTCTGCTTTGCTTATATTCTTTTGCTGATATCTTCTTTTTTCTAAACCTAATTTAATCGACAGCCGGTCCTGGACATTTCCAAATCCTCAGGACTATATTTTTTGATAGATACAGGAGGTCTTTAGCCATATTTTTAAAATTTTTTTACCTCTGCATCGCTACACGACTGTGGCCTGACAAGAGCACAAGCCTGTGCCGCAGCACTTTGAAACGCCGAACACAGCTAAAGCTAATCAGCAACAAGATGCCGCCCTTCTACAAGGACGATTACCAAAAACTTCTTCAGAAAATTGCAGTGCTGGAGACGAAGATGAATCGTCTAGAAGTGAATGTGGAAGTGAACGGACTGTGCGGGAATGACACCACATTACCACTAACTCAGAATAGTGGACAAGAGCAAGCTAACACACAGCAAAGGAGCACAGAGACCTCTACAATGACAAAGGTGGGCTCTGTTTTGTCTACGAATGGTAGTCCTCCTTGGAACTGTCTTGTTGCTAAGCCAAAGAAGAAATAATTTCTCTGGGAAATGGGAAGACGGATAACAGGCAGAGCACAGCGAGCTGAGATATGTGATGAGACCGGCTGGCCTGCACTACCTCCCCTGCAAAGTGCCTCTTCAACCCCTGTATCTAGAGTGACACAGCCGTGGACAGCTGCGAAAGGGAAGGTTAGAAACAAACCTCCCCACAAATGAA